TATTGAAAAATGATCTAATTCATCATCTCGACATTGAGATGTATGACTGTAAAAAAAACAAAGATTTTGAGTCCTAGAAATGGTGCATCTTACAACACATTATCTAGACCGTCCATTTAAAAGATTTTCATATGTTTATAGATCTACTTGATTTTAATCATTTTTGAAGTTAAAAACTTTATAATTAGATATGAAAAAATATTTTGAGATAATCTTAAGAATATTTTAATCAAAATTATATGTTATGATAAAATTTGAAGGTGCACCGTAAATGGATTGTTTAAGGTGCGGTTTCCATAAGGTTGCAACCTTAGCACCTTTAAATTTTATCATAACATGTAATTTTGTTATTAAAAATTCTTAGTATTATCTTAAAATCTATTTTCATAGCTAATTAGAAAATTTTAAATTTAAAAAATGGTTAAAATCAAGTAAATCTATAAATATATGAAAATATTGAAAATGGACGGTCTAGATAATGTGTTGCAAGATGCACTATTTCCGAGACTCAAACCTTTTTTCGTTTTGATATTCATATATTTGAATGTCGAGATGATCGATTAGGGTTTTTTCAACATTAAAACAGCATTTCCAATAGATTTTTGAGATGCATATGTGATTCTACATTTTAAAGTTGCAACTTTATATAAACTTTTCCCATATATTTATATATATATATATATATACATTCAAATGGGAGTGATCAGCTTCCATAGGAAGCTTGGGTCCTTTCTTATCTAAATTAAATATTTAGTGGTGGGGACTTAATTGGCAATTAGCGTTCTAAGTATAACAATAAGTGTAGAGCCTGCACCCTATGATAAAATAGTGTTTTAAAACTCGGTGATTTCCTATCCAAAGTGTCTATTTAGATGAGAATTGGTTAGGATCAAATCGGTTCTAAGGTGGCACGAGTTTCTGTTCAATTTTTTCAAAATCTGCCTTTTAATGTGTATTTTATTTTTTAAAGGTTATATAATAGTTTTTTAGGTCCCATAGATCCCCACCTTTGCTTATTTTTATTTTTGTTTTAGTTTATCTACTTTCTATTAATTTTTTGATCACCAATTTGGATAACTAATCTAGATCGTCAATCCTTCAATCCGACGTACCCGACTTCGCATTGAGAATCATGTCAATTGAGACGAGGAGCCACTTGGATTTTAAGCTAGAATCGGCGATTCGGTCAAATGCATAGCACGAGACATTTATATACCGTACCCCAACAACGACCCGAGGAAAGAACGATATTATAAAACAAAAAACCACAAAAAATAAAAAGCAAAAAGTTTATTTAAGGTTCACCATAAAATGTAGAATTAATCATTGAATTTATCATCTCGACATCAAATTGAATTGACCATCTCGATATCGAAGTGATCATCTCGATATCGAGATGTACAGATATAGACGAAAAAAGATATTTCAAGTCCTATAAACAATATGTCTTGCAACATATTATTTGGACGGGTTATGTTTCAAGATTTTCACATGTTTATAAATCTGTTTGATTTGAACTATTTTTTAAGTTCAAAAGATCTGGCTGACTTGAACTATTTTTAAAATTGAAAATTTTATAAAAACAGATTTTCGTACCATCTTAAAAAAATTTATACCAAAATTACGACGGGAGGTGCACCTTACTTTGATTGTTTAATGTCTTACACACACCACATCCAAACAAAATAGGAAACGCAATTTCCATGTGCCGAAAATCAGCATCCTAAGATTGAAAGAACGAATCCAATTTATTGAAGAACAAATCCAACTGTTTAGAACAATGGTTTAAAAAACGGATCGGTGACCCCGATCGGGCTTCCAAAAAATCGATCCGGATCGGCAAATCGGCTATCCGGATCGGGAATCGGGTGAATCAGTCAGAATAAAGCTTAAAAAAAATTCAAAAAAATTATTAAAATTCATTATAAATATTTTTTTTTAGGAATTCAATAAAAAATGAGGGTACTCCATTAAGAATTTTCATGTTTTTGAATGAAAATGCGAATATTGATATGTTCTTTCCCTGCATGAACCGCCATTCAGCATTTAATTTACAGTATTTCGTGCTCATCCCTACACTGTTGCTGTTGGGACTCGATATGTGAATAATATGGCTGGGATAGGG